TACTTGGGCTACTCTTTACCTAACGAATAGTGGATTGACCGTCACATTATAACGCCCCACGGCTGAAGGGCGAGCATGGTTGGTGGTATGGGATTCGAACCCGCGACCTTCAGATTGTGAGTCGAGCGCCTTATCCACCTGGCCATTCCCGGCACTGTTCAAAGTCTTAGGTATGCAAGAAGTTAAAGTAACATGTACCGAAGGATTATTACTTTTGTGACCTGAAATAGATAGAAACATGAATCGCTTTCAAAGAAATATAAAACTATTTGGAGTTGTTCAATTATAGCTAAAAATGAGGATTAGAGAAAGATTTTGAGGATACTTTGTGCAGATAATTTACTTCCTAAACTTGTTTATCTTAGTAATACCCATTATTTGTATTAACTCTAGCAAAAGTCCATTATTTAACATTTAAATCAAACTCTGCTTTATATGCAATTGCATGCGCAAACTTAGTATTTTTAGAAGCTACATATATCAAATATTCATCCTCAAAGCATTATGCTGTATGTTCAGCAACCTTACTGTACTTTTTTCTATAGCATACTTTGTAGGAAAAAACTATATTTCAAAGCTTTAAATATTCATAGAAAATGTTTGAAGGCGAAAAACTCGTCTTAAGATCACAAAGTGAAGCTAATTATTCTCTTCTTGTTCTGCTGAATACTTCTCGCATTTCTATCTAGATTCGTCATTGCAACAGCAACGTGTTTTAAATTTACTCAAAGTATTTTGGTTTGTCTTAGAGCTAAGCCACATTGGGCTATTTGCTGTGTCCACCACGAGAAATCGAACTCCGTGTTTTAGCTTTGCAAGTCCATAAACTTACCGTTGCACCACCGTGGCACTCTCCTCACAAAGTCATCCTTTTAACACTGATATTGACCGCACTAGCGTAATTGATTTTATTTTATGACAGAAACACTGATCAGCCGATAAGTAGAGACATAGATTGCTTACTTTCAGAGTACACCTGCGGTAAAGCGCACCGTTTTATTTAATGGAATAACTAAGAATAGAGTAAAAAGTCAAACAATATTAAACGTATGTTCTCCATATTGTGTAAAAAATTCCCATCTATCCAATTGTTAGATAAATTGAGTCACTTCGAAGATTATACTTTTCTTCACAAACAGGAAGTCCTAAAAATGAGAAAAATATTTATAAGCGATAATCAATAATTTGTTTTATCATGTATGTTTTCAGTGAACTTGCACTAGGCAAAAATAAACTTTAAAATATCGTAAAAACATTAAATTATCAATGTTTTCTATAAACATTTTGAAAATATAACCCCAGGCAATCCAGGTAAGTAAGAGCTTTTAATTCGACTTGCTATATTACTGGAAAAAACAGACACTTTGATAAAATTATACAACTCCAAGCTGAGAACATGGCGTGTTGCAGTAGTCGAGCACGTGAGTATCCATGGTTACAATTACACGAAAAACAGTAATAAACAGTTTCTAAGCATCTTGGTCTGCTTTTGTCGCCAGTGGTAAAAAGCTTGTTAGAGCCTGAAATAAACACACACAACAGATACACGTAGAAGGTGTCTAGAACCAGTCTATTTAGTCAGCGCCTGACATTGTTGACAGAATTATGGACATTGTCTGTCAAAAAAAAAAAAACGTCAAACGTTGACAGCGTGGTCTTGTATACACAATGTTGCTATGGCAACAACTGTCTTGGTAGGAGCTGTATTGAGTAGCGAACCACGTTAAAACATATTTCTTGTATTAATTTCCTTCTTTCTTCTTGCCCGTGTTTATTATGTCCTCCTTTTTTAAGCTACATTTCCGTGTCAATTAACTAGTCAGATTTAATTTTGTATCTATGAGCCTTTGTCACGATCGCACATAAACATAAGCATTTTGTAGGCGGCATGGGGACAACTCATACCACACTGTATGAAAATCTTTCAACATTTTTTCAAGAGAATTAGAAAAGTATAAATTTTAATCTAACTAATTATGCAGCTTTCTTCCGATTAGAAACCTTCAACCTAAAGCTAGGAAGCAAATGAGATCAGATAATGAGGTTGCTGCGAAACTATATACTTACCTTACTAGTAAGCTGCTCTGCAGGCTACGACCGTTTCGCTTTACCAGCTTGGGATTTTGCCGTATGAGCGCCGACAGTAAGAGGATTCGTTTATTTGTTTCGTATTTTCAATTTTTGCGCAAAGCTACACAAGGACTACTTTTGCCCAATCTTCACTTATCTTGAAATAATGGACTACAAGAGAGAAAGTCAAAAACACCCACACCACTCCAGCTCTTGGGAAGGATTACTCTCATGTGTTTGAATAAGGGGATTTCACCGTCACTCTTACAGAACAGCCACTGCTCCAAAGTACGGAGTGAATATTTGTAACAAGGAGATCCGAATTGTATACCTTGTAATTTACAGTTTGAACATACTGTTACCAGGCCACGCTCGGCCCCATTAAGAATTTAAAAAAAATATTAATTACTTATAGGTTTGTCATGCAGTTTTAGCAATCGTTCTAGCTAAAACTTGTGGTGTCTGTAGCATTTTCTGAAATAGCCCAGTTACTGCAAGTGGCGAACTTTTTAGTTATTTGTTTATATGTCAAAAGCTTATAGCTATCCGTTTGTTCTATATTCAGATTTTTTCAACTACCTATAGTTACTAATCCGATCGCTACAAAACAAAGACTGTATACTATAAGGCATTTCTCTCATTCACAAACACAATTACTCTCTAAATGAGGATGTTTATATATTTTTTCGGGTTCTATATAACTCAGTTAACTTCCCAGTAAAACGTCTAAACGCAATTATATGAAGGGTTGGTGTTTTTCCCGTTCTTTACAAATCTAGTGAATTCGAACACACCCTGAAAAATGGATTTTGTTGTGGCTGCTGCTTAAGACTTTAGGTCTTCAACATTATATATAGCTTCAGGCACACTTATACAACGTTAACTTTTTAACGATTGGTTTTTCTTCAAGTTCTAGGCTTTCAGTGTAATTTTCATTTACCTATATTCCCTCATTAAACGGATTTATTAAACGCGAGTCAAAAACCCATGTAAAAGAAACATAATGTCAAAATAGTTTAAGAAGCTTTATTTTGGCAAGAGACCACTAACAGTTTCTCAAATAAACAACTCGTCATTCTCGTGTAAATAAACGAAGCTACTTTCTATTCGTTTCAGGGCTAAATTTAGTTCAATGCATAAAAAAAGAATAAAACCCTAATGAAAGACAAAAATATTTCTTGAACGTGAATTCCATATTCACAGATATGCGTCAACTTCAAACATGTTCACACTTGAGTTTACCATAATGTAGGCTTAGCACTTATTTTTCATTCTTGAATACATGTGTCTCAAGTCACGAGGCTAGGTTGCATGTGACATTTGTTTGTCGTCAGAAGAACATCCCATCGATTTAATTTCAGGAGAGAAGTGTAAAAAATGTGTGACACCGCAGGAGATGTATTATCACATATATAAAATTATGAAAATTCTATAGAGTCAGGTAAGGACTATTGATATGAAATGCATACAGAGTGAAAGAGAATGTGTTACAACTGCATAGTTTCATTTGAGGATTTTGTGCATGTGGTACAAACTGTAGGATGCTGATATAAAACAATGTCGTAATTACTAAGCAGCGTATAATACTAGACTTGCAGGCATTAGAAATGCTAATTTTGTGAATATTTATGTTAAAAGAAGTTCTTTCAATAGAATGATATTAATAAATTCATGACTTAGAATTTTTATTTCATGAGTATCTTCTTTCTGCTCTTCACTAACCGATCAAAATCTTCATGTTTTGTTTGTTTCAATTACGCGCAAAACTAAACAAGGGCATCTTTGTTAGCCGTCCCTAATTTTGAACTGATAGGCTATAAGAAAGACAGCTGATCAACAGCACCCACCGCCATCTTTTAGGGATATTTTCGAGAAAATCTGAATAGTTATATTTGACTGTCACTCTTATAACGCATTCATGACCTCAATGTACAGAACAGTATTTGGAAGGGTTGTGAACCACGGAACTACTGATCCAAATTCCGGCACGCTAACTACTGGGCTGTCCACGGCCTCATAATCTCCCAACTGTGGTACTTATTTATAACCAAATAATATGAGACGTTTATTTAGTGCAAAAAAAATACTAAAAGTATAAGATATGCACATATGTAAAATATAGTAATCAGCGTTAACAACATGTATTAACAAACTAAAATTGTTTAATACAATTTAGTAACAAAAGTTTAACTGTTTTATTTACATTATATCAAGCAGGAACAGTGGAGGGTTGAACAATAAATGCATTATTTACTTGATTATAATTTGCGTCCCA